GGGGCGGCGCGGGCACGCGCCTCGTGCGTGTAGGTGCGCACGGGCACGCCGAAGGCGCGCGCCAGCCCGAAGTCGGCCAGCTTGATGGCGCCCTCGGCGTTGATGAGCAGGTTCTGCGGCTTGAGGTCGCGGTGCAGCACGCGGTGCGAGTGGCAGAAGGCCAGGCCCTGCAGCAGCTGGAACAGGTAGCTCTGCGGGGACAGCGCGGTGGGCGCGGGCGCCCGCGGGACCCCCCCGGCCCCGCCCGGGGCCCCTACCTTGATGAGGGGCAGCGCGATGCCGCTGATGGCCGCCGAGTCCATGAACTTCTTGAGGTCCTGGTGCAGGAACTCGAACACCAGGTAGAGCTTGTTCTCCGTGTGGATGACGTCGAGCAGCCTGCGGCGCCGGCGCCCGCTCAGCGCCCRGCCCGCGGCCCCGCCGCGCTGCAGCGCCCCGTGTCCCCCAGGGCCGCGCAACGCCCCAGGTCCTTGTGTCACCACCACAATACCCCACGTCCCCAAGTCCCCTCAGGTCCTCACAACACCCCAGGTCCCCATGTCCCCCCGATGTTCTCACAACATCCCAGGCCCCCGTGTCCCCCCCAGACCCTCACAATCCCAAGTCCCCGTGACCCCCCCAGGTCCTCGCAATACCCCGGGTCCCTCTGTCCCTCCCTGGTCGTGTCACCCCAAGGTCCTTGGGTCACCCCTTGGTCCCTACGATACCCCAGGACCTCGTGTCCCCCCCAGGTCTCTGTGTGGCCCCTGCGCCCCTCTGGGTCCCCAGGACACTGCACATCCCCCCCAGTCCCCTTGTCACTGCCAGATGCTAAAGTCACCCGGGGTCCTCACTTCACCCCGGGTCCTCGTGTCACCCCCGAGTCCCTGTGCCACCTCTGGGCCCCCATGTCACCCCAGGTGCCCACGTCCCTCCAGGTTCACATCCCCGGGCACCCCCRGGTTGCCACATTCACCCCAGGTCCCTATGTCACCCTGGGTCCCTGTGTCACCACTGGGTCCCCACGATACCCCAGGCCCCTGTCACCCCAGGTCCCTGCAGCACCCCCAGGTTCCCATGTCACTGCGGGGCCCCCTGCCCTCTCCGGGTCCCTGTGTCACCCCCAGGTCCTTGTGCCACCTCCATGTCCCCATGCCACTGCAGGTCCCCATGCAACCCCAGGTCCCCGTGTCACCCCACGTCCCCGTGTCACCCCAGGTCCCCGTGTCGCCCCACGTCCCCATGTCGCCCCAGGCCCCCGTGTCGCCCCAGGCCCCCGTGTCGCCCCAGGTCCCCGTGTCGCCCTACGTCCCCATGTCGCCCCAGGCCCCCGCGGCTGGCAGCGCTCACTTGACGATGTTGGGGTGGTTGAGCTCCTTGAGCAGGGAGATCTCGCGGATGGCTGTGCTGGGGACGCCCTCGGTCTCGCTGCGGGCGCCGGCGCTGGACTCAGCGGGCGCCGTCCCCGCCGTGTCCCCCGCCGTGTCCCCCCGTCCCCGCCGTGTCCCCCCGACCCCGCTCACGTGTCCAGGCGGATCTTCTTGAGCGCCACCACCTCGCCGGTGACCTTGTTGCGCGCCTTGTACACCACGCCGTAGGTGCCCTCGCCGATCTTCTCCACCTTCTGGAAGTTCTCCATGGGGCGGCGCCGCACCGGGGCCCCAACCGGCGCCGCAACCGGGACCGCAACCGGGGCCCCAACCGGCGCCGCAACCGGGACCCCAACCGGCGCCGCAACCGGGACCGCAACCGGGGCCCCAACCGGCGCCGCAACCGGGACCCCTACCAGGACCCCTGCCGGGACCTCAGCGCGGGGGTCGGCCCGAGGGTGGGGGGCGCGGGAGGCAGGTGCCGTTCCCGGGCCCGGTGCAAGGGGGCCGGGTCCCAGTGCGGGGACTGGGTTGCGATATCGGTCC